GCTAAATTTACACAACCAAGTTCTGAATAGAAGTCACAGATCAGTAGGTTGGCTCACTACAACATGTCAGGTAAGTGTCTCCTTAAATATGTGCAGATACAATTCCTGTATTTTTTTTTTTTTACCGACATGTTCAGCACATCTCTCATTTTGTTTCCATCAATTTTTCATGTAGTCCTTTCTATTGTAGTTTATTGGTTTAATTTAAACTGGCAATATCTGTTATTGAATTTTATTATATTTATGAGAAGATCTGTTATATATTCATTAAACTTTATCCTGCTCATTAAAGAGTCTGTGTTTTTGGCCAAAACCTGCACTGTAAAAAGGACTGGATAAATATTTCATTTAAATAACATCTTTCCAATTCAAGGGACATTTATGAAAAACAAATCCTCAGTTGAACACTAAATTAGTATTTTATAGTTATTCATATAAAGAACAAATTATTGTTACAGATCTATTCCTCCATCAATAAATATGCATTCATATAATGGTAGTAATAAAATGATCCCCATATGAAATAGTTTCAAAAGATCATTCCAATTAAAAACAAAATCAACCTATATTTAACATATTGTATTGTAAAGCCAGATTTAAACTTCATGTTTGATGTGGACACTATATCTGAAAATTAAATGTTTTTACATCCTGTACACTTAAATATTAGAAAGTGTGGGTTAAAGGAGACTTTCCAGTCTTAGAATCCAAACCTCTTTTCTTTGAGGTAAATGACAAATTTCCTTTTGATGTTACGTGAACAATACCTGGCCTACTGGTGATTTAACCAACATGCATATATCTATGGAGTAGTTTATGAAATTAGAATAATAAAACCATAGAAATGTAGGGCTAGATGGGACTCAGAGGTCATAAAGTCCTGAGGCAGGACCTTGTATATCTAGTCTGTCTCTAACAGGTGGTTGCCTAACCTGTTAATTACCTCTAATGATGGGGATTCCACAACCTCCCTTGAAAGCCTATTCCAGAGCTTAACTACCCTTACAATTAGAAAGTTTTTTCCCTAATATCTAACCTAAGTCTCCCTGGCTGCAGATTAAACCTATTACTTCTTGTCCTACCTTTCCTGTTATTCTCAATTTGCCCTTTGCGGTTACAAGCTTCCCCTAAAACTAATAGTGGGCAGTTATGAATCACAAGCCTTGTGATTATAGATAGTTCTGCTTTTGTACTTCACCCTGCCTTCAAAAACCCCCTTCTTCCAGTCAACTTGCCAAAATACAGACCTGCGCCAACCAAAATTTAAGCCTAGCACATTTTTCTACAACAATCTCCTCCTTTGATGCCTATTTGGCATCACCTTGGCCTAAACTTCCATATTCATGAGCCCACTAATCTCCTCCTCCTTCCTTGTCCCTTTTCTCATCCCAACTTTTATCATAAATTTTGTTAACAATCATCAATGCCACCTGCTCCCTTGCATTGGGCCTAGCAGAAAAATTACAAGCACAGCAATATCCCTCACAACCGCAATAACAAAAGCACAACACCAAAGCAAATAACCCTACTACAGCAGTCAGTCCACCTATTGTAACAATACAGTGGGGTTTACGCATAATCTTAGTTATTGCACACAGCACATCTTGACTAGTACACAAAGAAGACATCTATAGGCTGTCTGAAAGGCACCTTTTTCCACCTGATATACATTTTCAAGGATGTCAATTTGTCCCTGCAAGTCAGAAATTTTCTGGACCTCTGGTAACAATGAGAGCAGATTTTGGAAGTGGTCGGGCATTAAGGTCATCCAGTTAAAGGGCATCTGATACTTGAGGGTTGATTGTAACTTTTTATCCACAGGCCAGTAGATAACATGGTTGTCTGCGGTTGTAGTGAGGTTAAAATTGGCATCATGTATGATATTGACCGAAACATACACACAACTGTTATTAGCCTGGAAGAGCATCTCTCCTTGTAGGAGAGTTCCTTGTCCCATGTCCTCCCAACAAACAGTCGTAAATAGTAACAATTTCACCTGGTTTGAGTTTACGTACACATTGAAGCTGTGGGGGTTCCAGTGGCCAAAACGTCCATTGGTTTCCTATCCTGATCCAAACATTGGGTGTTATTTCAGGAGCACTGACTATGAATTGGCTAGGCATACCAGGTGGCTTGATTTCCCAAATGTTTCAAAGGTTACTGTTAGACAGTACAGTTCTAAGAGACATGGTGGTCATGCTGTGCTGAAGAGAGCCTGTGACAAAGGCTGGCAGCAGGTAGAGATATGAGATGATGTATTTTTTACTACACTGTCATGAAGTTGTGTAAGTCCCCATACAGTATTTAAATAAATGCTGTAAAAATATTATTCCAAACTTTTTAGTGCCTAGTCAAATATGATACAGCACTATGCCTCTGGGGCTGGGCATTTAATAAAGAACTCAATCAATCTTGCTTTATAAATCTATTTGTTTTCTAATCAACTGAAAATCAGCTAGACAAATGACATCCCTCACTCAGGTGATCGGAACCCTAGTACATAATTGTTAGGTCACATTTGCCTAATTCAGGGGTGGGCAAACTTTTTGGCCTGAGGGCCACATCTGGGAATAGAAATTGTATGGCAGGCCATGAATGCTCAGAAAATTGGGGCTGGGGGTGTGTGAGGGGGTGAGGACTCTGGTTGGGGGTGTGGACTCCAGGGTAAGGACAGAAATGAGGAGTTCAGGGTGTGGGAGGGGGCTCCAGGCCAATGGGAGCTGGGGGGGGGAAGTGCTTGGGGCGGGGGCAGCATGTAGAGCAGAGCCCCCTGGCTTCCCCTACATGTATGAACCAGAGCAGGGCCATGCTGTTGCTTCCAGGAGCTGCATGGAGCGACCCCCGACTCTGCTCCCTGGCTGGCGGGGCAAGTGCCAGACCCTGCTCCCCAGCAGGAGTTCGAGGGCCAGTTTAAAATGGCTGGTGGGCTGGATCTGGCCCACGGGCCATAGTTTGCCCACCGCTGGCCTAACTCATACTTATTGGGGACTCTTGATATAATGGAGAGAATAAAATATAAGCCAAACGAAAAATTCTTGCAAATTTGGATTTTACTGGACATTCGTTTAAAATAAAATACATTAAGCCATGTTCAGTGGCAAATAAAATATTCTTGTTTTATAGTTTTACTTAAGTCATATGAATCAGTTATTACTGTCCATTACTTTTCAGTTACAACCATGGAATTAACCCAGTCTGTTGTTCATTCTGCCTTTTCAATATCTCCTGGCTTCTCCATTGTGGATTGAAAACAAATTTTGAAACGTCAAAAGTTGTGGCAAAATGGAATTGTTGTCCTCTTAACAGCTCTACACTTAGCTTTAACTGTGTTATGCAAGGGAAATATTATTCCCATTTATTTATGGCATATTTGGCCAAATGTTCATATTCTCAACTGCATCTAGTACTTGTCTGTCAAATCTTTTTATTCTGATTTTTATAGTTATTTTGGTTTCCTTCATTTCTATTTCTCTCTCCTTTGTAAATTGTCACATGGATATATTCTACTGGTTCACTTGGAGCAAAATGCCATTTTGCTAATTTCACTCACTTGGCATACGTTTTTGGCTTAGTTTAAGATTATATTAGTTATTTGTTAAGGAAAACAGCTATGATTAAGATGGACTGTGATTACATGTACCTTGATAATTACAGTAAATTACCCCAGATGTACCAAAAGCATAAATCTATAGCTGCAAGGGCACAGAGTCATAAGTCCCCCCACCAGTGCTAAGGAAATACCGTCTCTTTAAAATTATTCAGGTGTACTCACCAGAGGGTCTCTCCCATTCTGAAGATCTCACTCTGATAATGAGGCAGACATGCTCAGGGCTTGCATGCTCAGAGTCTGTAGGACCTATCTGTAATGTAACTAATAAAGAGAGTCATGGTTTAAACTTTACATGCTAGTCTCACTCTGGTTCCTGAAGTACAGAGGCTGCAACATACTAACAAGAAAGGTACTCTTGGTTGCCTGGCCATGCTAGAAAGCACAACATGGTGTTAGAAGTGGCCACACTCTGGCTGTTTTTGTCAGGGGTGCAGTGGATCAGTACAGAGTGCAAAGCGCTACATAAAAAGGAAACTGCAATCCACAGATCAGCAAAAACCACACAGAAACTACAGAGCACTGAGACACTACAGGGTTAGGTGGATGCAAGGTAGCTTATGTCAACCTACCTATGTAAGTGTCTACACTAAAATTTTGCTCTCACCGACGTCACTGCCCTGCTAGGCCGATTTAATAACTACACCTCCACGAGAGGACTGCCAACACAAGGAGCATAGGGTAGACACACAAAAGCGATTGAATCACTGGTGAAGACGTAATATAGATCAACATAATTTTTTAGTGTAGACATGCCCACAGGGCACAGTGGATTTCTGTTCACTGCAATAAAGAACCCAAGTCACTGAGTCTCAGCGCCCAAGTCAGCTGACTCAGGTTCATGGTCTTGGGTTGCGGAGCTATAAAATTGCAGTGTAGATGTTTGGACATGGATTGGAGCCTGAGCTTTAAGACACTGCCCCCCCCCCCTTGTGGGGGGCAAGAGCTTGGACTCCAGCCTGAGCGTGAACATCTAGACTACAGTTTTTTAGCCCCGCAAGCCTGTCAGATGAGCTGGGTCAGCTGCATCTGTGTGTAGGGTCTTTTATTGCAGTGTGGACATACCGAACACACAAGTGAAACAAACTAAAAACACCTGAAGATGCAGGGCTTCAAGCCACCCACACATTTATCTTTCCTTGGTACTCTTGCTGAGAATTGGAGGAGTCGGTAACTATGCTTCTACCTTTATACGAAACTTCGGGAAATGTTAAAACAGAAGAGGACATAAAAATAGCCTTTTGACTGCACCCAGTGAGAAAGGAGGCATTGGAAGTTTATAACACATTTGTACATTAGCCAACTGAAAATCCTCCCACTTTGGATGAGTTCTCAGCAATGCTTAGGCACTATGGTGACCCTAAGAAAAATGTTGTGTTTGAACATTACCAGTTCTAGTCTCACTCACACCTAAGGGAAGAACAGATAGGTAAGTATGTCACAGAACTGAGGCAAAACACAAACCATGAGCTTGGAAATACTGAAAATGACATGCTCAGAGACAGTAGCACTATATACCACAAAGGTGGTGTATAATGTGCATGCTCCAGTACAATGCAGTATGAGCTATGCCATTCTTATTTTAGTACTGCTAGGATGTTACCGCAGACATGAAAAGTAATACAAACCTCAAGCAAGGACCATAGTAAAACAATAAAAGGACTTTGGTTGATTGCTATTCATTTTGATGTATACAAATTACAATAGTAAGGCAAAAATATGTTATGTGTTTACTGTGTATTTGTAAGTTCACTATGCACTTAGTGCCATATCTTCAGCATAGCTCCAATGCAGTCAGATTACACCAGCTAGGAATATGGCTCTTTGATAGGAGAGTTAATGGAATACATTTGGGGAAAAATTATACCAAACATTATTTATTTATTTGGTCATAAAATCTCTTTAGAGATTAACTAAAATGCTCACAAGACAGTATTATCTAAATCTCTTATAGTTCTAATTCATGATTATTGGTTTTTTTACTACTTTCTTTATTATCAACTATCAACAAATTTGTACTTAAAATCACATTATTTTGAACTATAAAAGGCATGGTTAATGGGGCTTTATCGCAGAGCTTGATTTCGGTTAAGTATTGTGCTCAATCAAAACAACCTGTGAAACCTAAATACTTACTTATTTCTTTGCAGAAGACAAAGACGTTATAGTAGTAGTAGTACCTTTGTAATCCTTTTGGAATTAATTTGTCATTTCAATTATAAATTTTAATGTATTTTATAATTTTCATAGTACAAAACAAGCAAATCACAAGGATGCAAATTATGTGTCTTCGTAAAGTCCTCTAAACACTATATACATTTTTAAAATGAAACTAAAATGTTAATAAAGATCGGATGATATGATCCCATCAGGATACAGATGCCACCAAAACTGGAATTTAGTGGTTACTGAACACCAGCAATAGCCTGCATCCACATCCTCATTCACTAGAGGAATCAGAATATCCTTTTAAGATTTGCATCCTCCTCTTGTACTCATCTTCTCGCAAGGTCCCCAGTCATCGCTGACGTCTTATGTGAGGAACAAAGTCTGTCAGCCACTAGCCTTTTCTATGCTTTACAGGTAGGTGCTGGCTGACTACTCCCCTTCCACTACGACTTCTTGGGGAATGCTTGGTTAGACCTCACCCACCAGTCCAAAGAAGGTCATTCAAGGGCTAATACTGGGTATGAAATTCTCTACCCAGAGGCATAGAAACATAGACGATAAGGGTTGGAAGAGACCTCAGAAGGTCTCTAGTCCAACCCTCTGCTCAAAGCAGGACCAATCCCAACTAAATCATCCCAGGTAGGGCTTTGTCAAGCCTGGCCTTAAAAACCTATAAGGATGGAGATTCCACCACCTCCCTAGGTAACCCATTCCAGTGCTTCACCACCCTCCTGGTGAAACAGTGTTTCCTAATATCCAACCTAGACCTCCCCCATTGCAACTTGAGACCATTGCTCCTTGTTCTGTCATCTGCCACCACTGAGAACAGCCGAGCTCTATCCTCTTTGGAACCCCCCTTCAGTTAGTTGAAGGCTGGTATCAAATTCCCCCTCACTCTTCTCTTCTGCAGACTAACCAAGCCAAGTTCCCTCAGCCTCTCCTCGTAAGTCATGTGCCCTAGCCCCGTGATCATTTTCATTGCCCTCCGCTGGACTCTCTCCAATTTGTCCACATCCTTTCTGTAGTGGGGGGCGCCAAAACTGGACGCAATACTCCAGATGTGGCCTCACCAGTGTCAAATAGAGGGGAATAATCACTTCCCTTGATCTGCTGGCAATGCTCCTACTAATGCAGCCCAATATGTCGTTAGCCTTCTTGGCAACAAGCGCACCCTGCTGACTCATATCCAGTTGCTCAGCCACTGTAATCCCCAGGTCCTTTTCTGCAGAACTGTTGCTTAGCCAGTCAGTCCCCAGCCTGTAGCGGTGCATGGGATTCTTCCATCCTAAGTGCAGGACTCTGCACTTGTCCTTGTTGAACCTCATCAGATTTCTTTTGTCCCAATCCTCCAATTTGTCTAGGTCACTCTGGACCCTATCCCTACCCTCCAGGGTATCTACCACTCCCCTAGCTTAGTGTTATCTGCGAACTTGCTGAGGGTGCAATTAATCCCATCATCCAGATCATTAATAAAGATGTTGAACAAAACCTGCCCCAGGACTAATCCCTAGGCACTCTTCTTGATACCGGCTGCCAACTAGACATCGAGCCATTGATCACTACCTGTTGAGTCTGACAACCTAGCCAGCTTTCTATCCACCTTATAGTCCATTCATCCAATCCATAGTTTTTTAACTTGCTGGCAAGAATACTGTGGGAGACTGTATCAAAAGCTTTGCTAAAGTCAAGATATATCATGTCCAGTAATTTCCCCATATCCACAGACCCAATCAGGTTGGTCAGGCATGACTTGCCCTTGGTGAATCCATGTTGACTGTTCCTGATCAACTTCCTCCCCTCCAAGTGCTTCAAAATGGTTTCCTTGAGGACCTGCTCCATGATTTTTCCAGGGACTGAGGTGAGGCTGACCAGTCTGTAGTTCTCCGGGTTCTCCTTCTTCCCTTTTTTTAAAGATGGGCACTGTATTTGCCTGTAGCAGGGCAGTCATCCTACTCCAGCCCAGAAAGGGATAAAAGCCATGCCTTGGAGAGGGCTGGGACTGTGAGCCAAAAAGGCTAGGCTGATTGGGGAAGCAGCCACAGCTGGGGCCATGCCCCAATCAGACCACAGCTGGCCCTATAAAAGGGCTGTGAAGCAGGGGCTGAGACAGTTTCTCTCCAGCTTTGGAGGGAGAAGGACCTGGCTGCTTGGGAGCTCAGGGTACTTGAGACAGAGCAGTGCTGGGGAAATGGAGGAGGAGCTGGGGAGCTCCAGCCTGGCAAATCCCCAGGCTGCGGGCCTGATCAAAGGCCAAAACAGGTACTGGGGTTGCAAAGGTGCAGCCTGGGGTTAGGCAGAGGCAGCAGGTCCAAACCCGCCCCCCCTTGCCAATGATGAGTGGTTTACAGACTGCAGTCTGCCCCAGTGGCAGCAAAAATTGAGGCAAGATGGGTTTAGAGGTTGGGGGTTCCCCTGGGAGAGGAGACTCAGAGTAGGGGTACTGGAGGGGCAGAACCCCAAGGTAAAGGGTACCAGGGTCCAGGCAGGATATGGGGCCTGAGGCAGGTGAGCCACCAGCCTGCAGAGGGTGCTCTAGGCTGAAATTGAGTTAATTCCCAGGATCACCAGCAGGAGGTGCTGTACCGGGTGAGTCGTGCCTCGCTACATTGCCTTTTTTCAATCATCCAGGACCTCCCGCGATTGCCATGAGTTCTCAAAGATAATGGCCAATGGCTCTGCAATCACATCAGCCAATTTCTTCAGCACCCTCAGATGCATTAGATCTGGACCCAGGGACTTGTCCATGTTCAGCTTTTCTAAATAGTCCTTAACCTGTTCTTTCACCAGCGAGGGCTGCTCACCTCCTCCCCATATTGTGTTGCCTAGGACAGCAGTGGGGAAGCTGACCTTCTCTGTGAAAACCGAGGCAAAAAAAAAAAGCATTGAGTACTTCAGCTTTTTCCACATCATCTGTCACTAGGTTGTCTCCCCCGTTCATTAAGGGTCCCACACTTTCCCTGACCTTTTTCTTGTTGCTAACATACCTGTAGAAACCCTTCTTGTTACCCCTAACATATCTTGCTAGCTGCAACTCCAGTTGTGTTTTGGCCTTCCTGATTACACCTCTGCATGCTCAAGCAATATTTTTATACTCCTC